AATACAATTATTATTATACATTAAATATAAGGAGCACTAGCTACAGAGGCTTTCAGCGCATGGTTTTAATATAAACGACTTAAATAATAAAGATGGAACCTTCCATTTAAAAATTATTTACAAGCAATATGTTTATATGAACTAAAAACATATGTTAAAAATAAATTTTAAAAAGTAAGGATAACTTAAATACATTTCTTCAACTTTGTACGAGATAGGTATTCAGATATTTTAGTGATGTTTACAATATACGTTATTTTTAATAAATCAAAAGCTTCATTATTCTGAAATATACTGGTCCTTGCTRAATTGAAGAAGGGGCATTCATCCAGTAGATGTGTTATGGTTAAGGACGACGAACTATAATATGGACAGGATAAATTACGGTTTCCATTTAATAAATGGGAATTAATGACGTATGACCAAGGCGTAGGCGAAAAAAGGCTTTTATATCGTGGCAACGGCCTGATGGTGGATAAGCAGGTTTTTTTGCCCTATTGGTTGCAGATAGCTTAGTGGTGTTGCACATTCTTCCAAGCATTAACTTTTATAGCTTTTTGTTTTGAAGCGATTAAATGGATTATGTAGTATATTTCTAATTTGCGCAATGAGGTATGATTTGTTAGATGCATTTAGGAGAGCTGAGATTGTAGACTTGCTATCAGTACATACTAATGTTTTTAAGTTAGAKTTTTGTACTAGGGATAGCGCATTATAGATGGCTGCTGCTTCTGCGGTGTATACTGAGCTGTAATTGGACAGGAGTCCAGCTTTTAACGTATTTCCAACGTTATCAACAATAGCAAAAGACGTGTAGAAGTTGGCCTTCGAAGCGTCAGTAAAAATGAGTTGCCAATCTACGTAGTGTTGCACAATGAGCTCTTTGAACAAACTTTGATATACCCTGGAATTGGAGTTACATTTATGATGGTGTTGAAGATGTAGCTTGAACGAAGATTCTTTGAGTAGCCATGATGGGGCAAAAGAAGTAGGTTTTTCCTCAGGTGTAGTTATTATAAGGTTGGTATCCAGCTCTCAATTAATTCATCAAGAAAAAAAAAATACATTATTTCTTCAAGTAGTTTTGACATCTGGTTACGCATTGTGAATGATCCACATTAGAGGAGCAAGAGAGAATAAACAAAGAAAATAAACTTTGTGGGTATTATGTATGTATGTATGTGTGTAGTAACATAAATATTTTCAATATTTGATTTAAGGAATGTTTTTGATGATTGGAAAGCTTTATACAACATTTCAAAATGAAATATACTTCATAATAATGATTTTAACTAATTTAATTGCGCAAATTAGAAATATACTAATTTACTTTGAATTTCGTTCAAGAAACAATTGTTGACTTGATGTTTCTTCGCAAAACTAGGTTTGCCATATTCGCATTTTATTGAAAAAATGTATTAAAAATTAGTACTATATTTCTCTAGAGCTGCATACTAGCAGAAGTAAATTTATCGCAGGAAAGTTACTTGACCGTTTCTTAAGCGGTTTTTTATATGAAGTTTGTATATTTCTTGAGAGCTGGATACTAAGCTATACCTAGATCCTTAGCTAATTTAGTGTATTTAGAAATAGTGGGAGAAGTATTGGAGTTTGAATCGTCGGTCCATTTGGCTTTTACTACCATATAAGAGCTTGTTATTACATAATAGTTGTTTTGGAATAAGCTTTTGCGTAAAACTCTTTCCTCGATGGATGGGAGTCCGGCTTCCGCTAATGTGAACTTTATTGGTGATGTTGGGAATGCCCGAATACTTCTACTAACGGCTGCATGATATGGTGCAAAGATTTGCTTTATGTTGCTTTTGGCACAATTGCCGTAGATAGGGAGACCATAATCACATGTGAATTAAACAATATTTTGATGACAGATTCTTAATTATATATTATTAAGTCTAGAAATTAATTGCTTACGTAGATTTGTACAATGTTCCTTAAAAGTAAGTCTCTTATCAAATATTAAACCTAGGAATTTAAGACTAGTAGTATTTACAATATTTACATTATTATAGATAAGATTGAAGTTATTGCATTTGTGTTTTCTACAGATATGGAATAATTTGCATTTGCTTATAGAAATATTCGCACCTGAACAATTTGAAATATCAGAAAGGATTTTTAAGAAGGCATTTTTAACAGTATTAAGAAAATTTTGCTTGGAGAGGAACAGCACATCATCAGCATAAATAATATGCGAAATGAGTTTATATTTAGAGATTATCATACTGATTTCGTTAAATGCGATTACAAATAGTATGACAGACAATGGTGATCCTTGTGGTATTCCGTTGTACATATTGTACGTGTTCGAAAAAGTATTTTTGATTTTAGTCACGAATTTCCGATTAATTAGGAAACATTTAATAAAGTTAAATACTTTTCACCAAATTGCCACTTCTCAAGTTGTCGTTGAATGACATGAGAACCAACTCTGTCTAAAGCTTTTTCGAAATCCAAACTGAGGCTTTATATGTGCTTTTTTTCGATAAAGCAGTTTTGGATCAAAATAGAGTAAGGCATCCATAGTGCCTTGCCCTGCCTTAGATATCACATGGTTTTGGCTGAGAAGGTTTTTATTTAATGCGAACCACGAGATACGTTTTGATATGATTTTTTCCAATAGTTTGCCCATGCAACAAAGGAGTGATATTGGCCTGTAACCAAGAACATCTGTAGACACTACATTGGATTTAGGAATTGCTACAATCACTGCATTTTTCCAGCTTTGAGGGTAGACACCTTGACATAAAATATTGTCAGCGATTGATACAAGCGAGGGATGGAAGTTTGAATCTTTCAAATAAACGGACCATACAGAGGCGAAATGATTAGCTATTTCTTTTGAGTCGAAAACTGGACCACTTGGGGTGGGGGGTATGTCGACCCATAATTTCTTGGGATTTGTTAACGGAGCGTTAGCTTCGGTAAGTTTTTGTAAGCAAGTCCTCTTAGCTTATTTAATATTTTTCCGAAACACTGCATTGGTTTTTTAGTATTTCATTAGATTATCAATATAGCGAGTCCTTTTGTAAATTAACCATAGTGATTGCTTTTCTTCTCTATGTTTAGATAACTCCGTTAACCAATAAGGCACATGATTTTTGAAGATTTTTTTTACCCGTTTGGGGGATAGGTAGGTGAGCAGAAGTTTTTATTATTTTGGTAATCGTAGCTGTTTCTTTATTTATATTATCGTCTATGAGACTTGCAGCAGACAAATTTTCGCAGAATTGTTGAAATTTGGACCAATTAGCCTTGTCCAACAGAAATTTTGGTTTCGCCGACCCTTTTCTTGATAAAGGGGCTGTAATGGAGAAATGATCGCTGTTATAAAGATCAGTTAGTGTTTGGCTGTTAAGTTTGAGGGCGATAACAGAAGAACAAATGGCAAGGTCGACATTCGTGAACGAATTGTGTGTAGAAAAATGCGAAGGAGAACTGTCGTTTAAAATTATCAAGTTTTCTACTAATAAAAGGCCTTCTCTGGTTTTACGTTTTTTGTTAGTACGTGTGGAACCCCAAAGAGGGCTCCAGGCATTGAAATCGCCAAGTAAAACTACGGGTGTTTGGATAGGTCCGATTATATCGCGTTTTTTTTTTTTTTGAATCTGTTGTGGATATTATAATAACGAGTGGTATGCTTATTTTGGTTGGGTTTATTTTTATTTGGGTAAGCGTTAGGTTAGGAAGGTTTTTTGTTGTTCCTTTTGTAGTTTCATTTGGTGAGTTTAGATGGTTATCAATTACAAAATTGTTTTTGTTTACTATCATGGTTTGCTTTTGTTGTGGATGAGGATAAGCTGTTGGGGATTTTAGTACAGTGTCTGTGGAGAGTGGTAGGGGAGGAGGTGATGAGCGGTGGGAAATCAGGTTTGTTATTTGCTTGTTTGTATTTTCTTTTGTAACAGAAGCGAAATAAGTGTTTGCGGGGATAGGGGGTAATTGTTGTTTGTATAGCCTTAGTGCTTCTCACATTGAGCATTTATTTTCTGTTTTTATTTTTAGAATACGTTTGCATTGTAGGTATTTAGGACAAGGGCGTGTAGAGGAAGGATGATCGAGTTGCCAGCTTCTAGGTCACACAACGAAACGTTGCAACAACAACCCTGTCTGCGATATGTGCAATTTCTCGCCTCATCTCCCCTCGCCTTGCAACCGCACATTTTGTGCAAATTGCTCAGGTTTACACCTCATGGGGTTAGGGAAATATGCTCTAATCCGCACTGTGCGCCAAAGACCGATTTTTTCTGGAAGTTTGTAGACGTCAAAGGAAAGAAGTATCACAAAACTAGGTCATTGCTTGCTTTCTATATTTTTAGTGAATTTATACGCAAAAGTAACTTCCTGATCTTTTAAATTGTCAGCAATTTCATATTCTGCAATGTCATTTAGAAACATAGAGCGTAAATTGTACCTTTAGAGCAATTCAAATTGTCGTGTAACTTAACTTTAACATCGCAAATTCCATTTAATTTCTTTGTTGTAAGAATTTTTTTTAGCGATCTTCCGATATTTAACAAGTAAGAGTAGATTACCATCACGTAATTCGGTGATAGATAAAATTTCCTCACTTATTGATTCTAAGCTTTTGCTTGCACAGCGAAGCAAGAGTATGTGGAAATCTGCTGCAGATATTAGAACAAACTTTGGGCAATCTTTTTTAATTTGAGGCAGTTCTGGAAAATTTTCAAGTGGTTTGTATGCAAGTTTTTTCTTTTTGGGGTTGGGGCTAGAGGCAAGCAAAAACAAAACTGTTTTCCCCGAGATTAGGCGGCCCTGGGGCCATAATAAATCTAATATACCCTGTTTTTTACGCGAGTAACCGTACGAACAAAGTAAAACGAAAACAGGTGCACTCATATGCAAAAAGGAATATACGAATAAAGCGTAAAGCACAAAAGAAAACCCGCGATTAGAAAACACGTCCGCTCAATGAAAGAGATAGTCGAAGACTTCCAAGTTAAGATATTTTCGGAGATCTGTAAGTATAGTTAAAATCTTCACATCTTCCTGGTTCGTCATGAAAACTGGCCAATTCACACCGAGATTTTCCAATGGAACATCTTTGCAAACGGACGCTAATCGCCCAGAAAGCTATTGTTATATTTAGATTGCAAGCTTTTCCGTTTCAAGTTAACATCGTTTTGGGTCATCAACCCTAAACTAACAGAATTGTAGAAGCGTACATTTCTCAAGCGATTGACAGTAAATCACAAAGCTATTGAAGAACGCAATTTCTAGCAAAAAATTTGATGACACCACTTTTTCAATTTCCTGTCAAGGCCATAAGCAATTCGTCGTTGCTCGGCTATTAACAAAACCTTTTTGATCTCTTCTTGAAACGGCCGTAGCTTCTGATCCATGAAAATTGGATGTCGGTGGAACTTATGCCAGTAGAGGATAATCTAAAATCATTATCTACTTTTTCAACTTTTTTCCATTCGGTTTTCACGATCGTACTACACCATAGTCCGTTGTCCGCTGTCCGTTTTTACTTTTTCAAGAAAAAAATATTTTTTCCCCATTTTTCTTCAGTACATAACCATGTCCAAATACCACACATTATCCTCATTGAAGTGCTTTATTGGACAATATTGTTTCATAACATTTCGTCTTTTAAATAGTATCATCGATTCATCCACGGAAAGTTTGCGAGTTCCATTGTATACTTTTCCAAATCTATTATAGGGTAAAGTCTGTATAGGCTCTCCTTATTATCTTTCGGTACCATCGAATTATTATTAACGAGTCATAGTCTTACTAATAATTGGCAAGCAGAAATATTCACTTGTACTCCAATAATCCTTCCAACATGGAAGTTTGCGGTAGTCCATGAAAAAATGGTGCCAATAAAAGCATAAAACTCAGCACTCTTCAAATTTAAAACTTTGTGCTTTTGGGTAGCATACAAATTTGCAAAGCAGTATTATTGCGTGAACTATTCTTTGTGGCCTTGAAATCATTTATTTCATCAATTTCAACCTCATCATTGGTTTGGTTGCTAATGGCAATACTGGTGTTCTCCTCGATTTCGTCTTGTTAGAGTATTATGTTATTATTTTTTATTCTTACGGCACGGTTTGTCCTCGCTAATCTGGCAGTGTGCTATAATTTTTACCTAGAAAAGACCCTAATTAACATACTAATGGTACTTACAAGTCTTTTGTATATAATTCGCAAAAGAAAAAAAAAAAACAGAAAGAACTTAGTTTTCCGCTATTGTTATGCAAATTTACAAACACGTGTAACGAGGAGCTGTAACTAATTTTTATTAACTGTAAATATGCTCGTATGAAATTGACAGCTAGCAATGGGAAATTATGTATACTTTAAGAGTACCTATCGCGAAAAATCAAAATAAAGCATCTTTAAACTTTATATGAGCTCGTAATTCTGATAGTACTGCATCGTACCGTAGGTCGAAACCAAAAGAAAGAGCAGCTCGCAATTTCTTCAGGAATAATTTCCGCCATTGCAACTACAGCAAAAATACTGTAATTATGTCTCTAGATCTTAATTTAATATTTGCGGACCCAGTCAGAATTGGAAAGATGCAAATAAATCTTGTGGTTCATGAAAACAAGGGAAAATGGGAATCCATTGTGTAATTTTGAAATCACGCTTAACTAATAAAATAAACACTTGCGTCAGCGGCCAAACTCGTCAAAGAGATTATGGAGCTGGTCAAGCAAAATACGCATTTAATTAATTTCCTCTATGTCTATACTGCTATCACTATATTGAGGGCAGTGACGGCAACCACTTGATTTGAGATCCAATTTAATTAGCGATGAAAGTCTGTATTTTACAGCTTAGCCAATAACTAATGTATTTATAATCGTACTTGACGTCTTGCAATAAAGATGACGGCTCATTTTCTAAGCAATACATATGAAAAATAAATGAATGAATTATAACCTTTTTACATTTTGCAACAATAAAATATAACTACAACACATTGACTAACATTCTATTTCCATTTTTAGTTTAATACGCCAACAAAATGAGATCAACGGATCACCGACCACAAGGCTATAGTTTTGGTGTTACCATGTAACCGCTGGTATATTGGTCTATTTGAAATTACATGAGCTAGCATTGTGTATTATTAGCGAAATTTAGGAGAAACAAAATATATTGAACGTTTTATATGAAAATACTCGGATACGCAAATGAGTAATTCGAGCTTCTGTTAGAAGGTCGAATTCAATGTACGTGTGGTTGTTTTAACTCGTTTTGACAATAATTAACATAGGCAAGTACAATGTGTGAAATCTGACAAATAAATATTTGAATTGTGTTACCTTTGTAGTGGGTATGCGATATGTACATATGTATGTTTCTCTATTGTATTCTGCAGAGTATGATTTGTGATGGCTCTAGAGGTCGGCTGTATCAATTACGGCGGAAAGAATCAAAGTCACGTCTGTGGATAGCAGTTTTTACTTTTTTTATATTAACAGATAGTATAGTTAACTCTGAGTTAGCAAGTGATATGGATAATTACCAGTTTGCTAATGATGGCCGCTTGGATTATATGATGCACTATATGGTACCACGTGACTATAATGACAGAATGAGTTCGAAATCCTTGACAAATTTGAAGTGGCAACATTTTTCAAAAAACAACTTTTCATATAGTAACGAGGATGAAATAATTAGCAAAACAATTATTCAGACACTAGTTTTGATATTAGAAGAACCAGTTATTTTACTAAGACCAAAAAATGCGACATTTCATGATGAAACAAAACCAGTGATTCAGACAATTTGTTTGATGGCTAATGTTATTTCATCATCCGCAATACAAAGACATAAACTGTCACTATACGCTAATCATATTCTGCAGGAAGGAGGTGTTAAACTTTTAAATCGTGGAAGTTTATTTGAACACCACACCCATACTTTGCAACACTCTGATGTTAAATCAACTCAAGCTGTACCACCAAGAAGTACACAAGCCATTGTTAATGTCTGCGAATCATGTCAAATGCGAGAAAAAGTGAAGCTCAAAAGCTTAGAATCAATAAAAAATCTTATTCTCATACGCTTACAATTACAACGCTTGCCAAATATAACCAAACCCATTGCTGTGCCTCATAACATTATTGACAAGTTCTATAAAAACTTTCATGGTGCAGTGACAGACAACTTCGTCGGAAACAGTATGAACTCTGAGGCGCGACATGCAGATTCAAACGGACTAGGGCAACAGAAAAACACTAACCCAATCTTACCAAAATACACCAAGCGGATGCACAGAACTCATGAAATGTATGGGCAACGGCGTCTCTTTGAGAATCAAAATACACAAGGGAAATATCATACAATCCACAGATCATACAGTAAACCTTCCCTTCACCCTTCTGTCTTTCACTCTTACGACAATTACGAAAAACTATTCGAACCAACTGAAGATATGCAAAACGATGAATATGTACAGAATGACGACCTTCAACCGCAATACGATGATCAACAAGGGCTTAGTAAAAACAATCGAAGAGAACGAATGAATTACCAGCAAGAACAATTGTTTCCTCCCATCGAAAGTGATACATATGATGGCTTACCCCATGAAAATTATGGTACATATGACCCCATAAAGGACGTAGATGATGACTCGTTCTCACATGTTAACAGCATATATGTTTTTCCATCCGGTAAGTGACTTGCAGATAAGTCCAGTATGACCATATCATTGAATAACAATTAGAAGTGCAAAACTATCGGTAGACTGACCAATCAAAGTTTTCAAAAATATTATTATTAGTATCGATAGTTGTTCAGATAGAAATCTTTTTACTTTTCGCTGGTTTAATTTAATACAACTTGCTTTTGTGCATTTATTTTTATGAAATAAACTCTGATTTTGTTTATAACAATAGGGTGCATATAAAATTCTCCTAGAGTTACAAAACGGAACATTTTTTATACATTTACTAATATAGTATAAGTTCAAGAAACGCATACTTAAAATACGGTAGAGTAATTTATTCCTTAATATTTCTCTTGTTTCTTATCAAAAATATAAATTTTTGAATGCTTTTAGTCTTTAGTGGTGTTCTCTTATCAGATATACTTTACAGATTCACTTCAACCTGGCTAAACATGCCTCAGGGTTATGTACGAGGATGTATTGTGAGAATCGACCATGAGAGAATATTCAAATAAAATTTTTAAATTTCATAATTTTATTCTCCAAATAAATAATTTTAATTTTAATGGAGTTTCTTTACAATTTATTCTTTTTCACGGTTCTTAATTTTTATTGAAAAACTAGAA